ATTTGGGTTTTCTCTCTCTCTCTCTCTCTCTCTCTCTCTCTCTCTCTCTCTCTCTCTTCATAAAGGAATTTCTTTCTCACTGGTGCCAGGAAGTTCAATATCTAGGTTCTGGGATCTGTTGGAAGGCTAGAGGGAGAAAGCAAACAAGCGCAGAGCGGCTGGGGGCCATCACAGACAGACACAGGGTCCTTTACATAGTCACCCCCAGGGAAGAGGGGGCTGAGGGAGGCTGAGGTGTGACTCACTGCGAGGAGTCATAAACAACTCTGGGAGAAAGCAGAAGGCTTCAGGGCCTGGTGAGTCACTTCGGGAGGCCGCTCCTCTCCTTTCTGGGTTGCTCCCCTACGGGCCTGCCCTGGGTGGCTCCTGCAGGCCGCTTCAAGCTGGACTTCCCCCTGGTGCCCAGGCTCTCCCACTACCTGTCCTTGCTGCTTGTGGGGTGGGCAAGGTCCGTGAATGGGGCTTAGGGCTGGGCCTGTCCCTGGCTGACTGAGGCTGCCTGAAAGGAGTCTGGCTAGCTGGGACTCTGTGGCTACACAGCGAGGCTGTCACTGCCCAGGCAGGGGATCAGGGTTGCTGTGGACTGTCACTGGGCCCCATGAACTGGCCTGCTCCACACACCCCTTCCATGCTCAGCGACACCAAGGTTGGCCTTCTCCCCTCTCCTGGTTGCCTGATGCCTGGGCCCTGGGCCACTTTTCTCACCCTCCAACCAGGGTTAAACATTAGTGGGAGATTATCTGCAGGCCCAGGGGAGGGAAAGGGGACAAGTTACAATTGGACAGTCTCCTCTGCGGAGCTGTGGAGCTGCCAGCTGCCAGGTCCCGCCTCAGCCCAGACAATGCCGGTGGAGGAGTTTGTGGCTGGCTGGATTTCAGGTGAGGCATTTTCTTCCTTCTGTCACATCACCTCCCGTGCTGGGTCACGTCCTAGGGAAGTTGGGTGACACAGGAGGAGCTGAGACCAAGGCCTTGATCCCCTGAGAGTCCCCTGGAGCCATCTGTCCCCAGGGCCTCATGGAGGTGACCAGCAAGGAGGAGAAGGGAGGAAGCACAGGCTGGATGGGCTGCTCCTGGATTCCAAGGCCCCTTTGCTTGGCACGCACTGAGGGCTGGACAGCCCCTGGGGTCTGATCCCATCCTGTGGAGTCCAGAAAGAAGTCCACCTTTGCCCTCATCTGCTGTCCCAAGTTCCCCTTCGGGCCTCTTTCCTATCAGGTAACGGGTGCCACTGTACCACGAGAGGCCTGCTGTGGGTGTGTACCCAGCCCAGCTTCTGATGACCTTCCTCTTAGGGACATTCTAAATGCTTCCTGGGGCTGCGCCCTCCCTGAACTCCAGAAGCAGTGGGGAGGTGGGGTCTCCTTGCTTGGGGCCAGTAGGACCTCTGGACGGTCCCCACAGCGGCAGTAGGGGGCCGGTAAGTTCCAGGAGGGCAGGGTCTACGAATTAAGGCCACAATGCTGAGAGGACAGTGCACCTGCCATGTATGCTTCCCTTCCATGTCCCCTCGGGTGGGCTGGGGTCTTAATCCCTGGCCCAATGCCTTGTGTGGGGGACCAGGCAGGGGTAGTGACATCGAATGGAAGCTGTCCGAGGAGGCCAGGCTTCTCTCCTCCTGCTTGGATCCTTCTCTCCTGTCTCAGACTTGCTTCCTGGCCCTGGCACAAGGCCTTCATTGGTAGTACCTTCTTGTCACCACAGGAGCTCTGGGCCTGGTCATGGGCTACCCCTTTGACACCCTAAAGGTGAGTCCAGGAGAAGCACCCAGGAGTGGATGGTCCTGCTTGAACCTTTCAGCCTTGCCAGCCTGCTGGCATCCTGCTCCCGGGGCAGAGAACAGAGCTGCCTACCTGCCCTACCTGCCATGTCCTCCCCATCCAGGTGCGGCTGCAAACCCAGAACACATACCGGGGCATCACAGACTGCATGGCCAAGATTTACCACCATGAGTCGGTGGGTGGCTCTCATCAGGGGCGGGCAGCCTAAGCTCCTCCTTCTTCCCATCAGGGCTTCTGGAAGAGATAATACCTGAGCCTGGGACCCTTCGGGGCACCAGGTGGTAGCGTAGCTCCCTGTGTGTGGAGCAGAGTCCTTCTCAGCCTCACCTACACCACCTCCCCAGGGCAAGGGTTGGGGTGGTGTCTGGCCAGAGGGGAATATGGCCAAGGCTGGAAAGGGCAGATGAGGCCCGCTGTGCCTACTCTAGTGCCACCACGTCGCTCTGCAGATCCTGGGCTTCTTCAAGGGAATGAGCTTCCCGATCGCCAGTATAGCACTGGTCAACTCCATCCTGTTCGGGGTCTACAGCAACACCCTGCAGGTGCTCACAGCGACCTCCCACCAGGACCAGCGGGCCCAGCTGCCCAGCTACACACACATCTTCATAGCGGGCTGCACCGGGGGCTTTCTGCAGGTGAGAGGGCAGTGCCTGGCATGCAGTGGTGAGGCCGTGACAGCCTGTGGGATCTGTCTTCTTCCGGCAACTCACAGCCACGGACGGACAGACGGACGGGCCTTCCTAGGGAGCACAGCTGCTCCTGCTCCCAGAGGCCTGGTGTGCTCAGGGGCTGCCAGGCTGCAGGCCTCATAGCAGGGTTCACACAGAACGGGGGCAGGGTGGTGCCAACAGGGCGCTTGGAGAAGCAGCTGAGGGGTTTGCAGGCTCAGAGCTGCAGGAATACAGCTCTTTTTTTCCTGGTACTGGGGATCGAATTTGGGTCCTTGTGATTACAAGGCAGGCGCCAGAACCACTGAGCTAAACCCCTGGCCCTGGAACATGACTCTTTGCAGCCACCTTTGACTCCAGCAGAACTAAGAGCTCAGCCTCTCTGGGGGCCCCAGGGCAGCCCTGGTCCTCATCCTGCCCTGCCCAGCTCAGCCTGCACCTATGGGCTCTGGCTGCTGTGCTCTGTGAGCCTCACCTGTGGCCAGATCACTGCTCTCACTAGGACAGGCCCAGGACATTAATAATTAAGTCGCTCTAGTCATTTAGGTTGGTCTTTGCCCTCAGCACTGTAGTGTTCTTGGAGAACTAGGGTGGAGGTAAGAGTGACCTCCAGGCCCCAGAAGGAACCTGAGCTTAATGGGGCCTCTGAGCACTAAGCAGGGCGCGTGCCTGGCACCATCCCCAACCTGTGCCTACCTTAATGACCCTGACACAACTTTTTCCCCACAATATTGAGGACTGAACTCAGGGTTTCACAGTGACATACATTCCAAGCCCTTGTTTTATGATGAGGTCACACTGAGTTGCTAAATTGCCCAAACTGGGCTCAAACTTGGGCTCCTCCTGCCTCAGCCTCCCAGAGTGCTGAGATTACTGGTGCGTACCACCACACCCAGATACCCTGATATACTTCACAGGGCACGGGGTACAGAGTAAGACCAGAGGACAAAGTCAGGGTGCTCATTCACATGAATTAATGATTAATGAAACTCCAGATGTCCTGGCTTCTCTTTTGCCCCTTCTTGTGTGAGGGGCATAGGTCTACATATCTCCTAAATCCTGAGACCTGTACCCCTCAAAAACGGGGAAGAGAACTGAGAGTGTGAAGCGGAGTGACAGGAGCCAGCCTGGCTCCTCGGTCACGCCTTAGTGGCACACGAGGAAACAGCAGGGGAACAGTCAGGGCATGGGGAGAAAGCAGTCCAGGAGATGACTGGATCTGCCTTCAAGATGGTGACTTTGCTGTAACAGGAGCCGGGAGCCGGGGTGTGCTTGGGTAGGCGGGACAAAGAGGCAGAAACTGTTAAGCCCTGCCCAGGATGAAAGTTGCTTTAGTTCTGGCTGAGGCTGGCCCTGCCACGGGGAAGTAGCATCTGATGCCCATGTCTCCCACTGCATGGGCGCCCCCACCTCTGGCCAGGCTTGTCTTCAGCATCCAGGAGCCCAGGCTCGGGAGACCAACCCCTTCACCTCAGCCATGCCAGCAGGGTCCAGAGGGCGGCATCAGGACCCATCCCACAAAAGGGGTCCCGGCCCACCATTCTGCCTGCTGGCGCAAGGGCAAACAGGGCAGCCAGGCGTTGTGATGCACACCTGTAATCCCAGCACTCAGGAAGCTGAGGTAGGAGGCCTGCTGCCAGTTCAAGGCTGGCCTGAGCTACATCATGAGTTCAAGGCCAGCCTAAACTAACTACACAACAAGACCTCAAGACCCTGTTTCAAAAAAAAAAAAAAAAAAAAAAAAACTGGGTATAGTGGCATATTCCTGTTATCCTAGCACTAGGAAGGCTGAAGCAGGAAGATTACTGTGAGTTGAGGCCAGCCTGGACTACGTAGAGAGTTCAAGTTCATCCTGAACTACATATGGAGACCCTGGCTTAGAATAAAGGCTGTCACCAGAGTCCGTCGTCATCAGCCATCTCTCGGAGGACAAATGAATCTAACCCACCATAACAGGTCAACCTCGGCTTGGACCTCAGTTTCCATCTGAACTTCAGCAGCTTTTTATTTCAGCAGCTTCTTCTTCGGTTTGCTTTTTGCTTTTTTGAGACAGTCCTTGCTATGCAGACCAGGCTGGTCTTACACTCACTATGTAACCCAGGATGGCCTTGAACTTTCAGTCATGCTCCTGTCTCAGCCTCCCCCGTGCTGCGACTAAAGGCCTGTGCTACTACACCTGGCAGAATTTCAGCATCTTTTCCTTCCTTGATCCAAACGTAAGCTCTTCCTCGAGTTCTGCATCCCCTAGCACTCACCCTCCCTCAGGTCTAGTTCAGTGAGACCCCAAATCCAGTTCCTGTCTGCCTAAGCCAAGAGTAGAGTTCTAGAACCTACCAGATCACCATCCTGCTTGTTCAGGAACCTCTTTGTTGGGCACCAGTAGGTGGAGCTTGGTGACGGGCAGGAAGGGCTGGCCCAGCACAGGCCCCTGGGGACCTCTGGGAGATGTGAATCTATGAATCTGGGCCCTGTCATTAGAACAAACAAACAAACAACCACAACCAAAAGAACAGTGCCCATGAGGTGAGCATTCCCCCAGCCTCTTCCATGGTGACAGAATCCTTTATTCAGCCTCAGTCATGGCAAATACATGCTCATCCCTGGATGAAGGGAGGCCAGTGACACACCCACTGCTGGAGAAACAAGCAGGCTCACGCTCCACTGTCTTGTGCCTGCCAGGCAAGCTCGGTGCTGTCGAATGTGGAAGCACTGTGAGCACCAACCCTGAAGGAGGAAGCCTGTCCCCACTGTGTCCGGGTGCCCTGGCCCATGCTCAGCCACATGTTCGAGAGGTGGGGCTGTGGGAGTGTGTGCCCCAGAGGCCCATGCAACCCTTCTACGTTGTCAGTCAGCAGCCCAGCCCCAGCCCCAGCCCCAGCTAGAGCCTTCTCCTTTCCTTCCCAACAGGCCTACTCCCTGGCCCCTTTTGACCTCATCAAAGTCCGCCTGCAAAATCAGAGTCGAGGGTGCAGCCAGGGAGCCCCCCACCCAAGTACCGGGGACCCGTGCACTGTGCAGCCACCATCTTCCAAGAGGAGGGGCCCCGGGGGCTGTTCCGAGGATCTGGGGCCCTGATGCTGAGGGACACCCCCACACTGGGATTTTACTTCGTCACCTATGAAGGGCTCTGTCACCAGTACACCCCAGCTGGCCAGCAACCCAGTCAGTGAAGCGGTGAGAGGGTGGGGGACAGAGGTGTCACAGCAGAGGCTGGAGAGGGAGGTTGGATGTGGAGGTAGCTGTTCGATTCCAGGTTGACCTGACCCCAGGCCTCCTTTGTCCCAGGCTCAACCACTGTGCTGGTGGCAGGAGGCTTTGCAGGCATCGCCTCCTGGGTCACAGCCACACCCTTCGACGTGATCAAGGCCCGGATGCAGATGGGTGGTGTGAACCAGAGAGCGTACAAGGGGATGCTGGACTGCATAGTGACCAGCTTCTGGCAGGAGGGCCTGGGAGTCTTTTTCCGGGGGTTTACTATCAACAGTGCCCGTGCCTTTCCTGTCAATGCTGTCACCTTCCTCTGCTATGAGTACCTGCTGCGCGTGTGGGGGTGAGCCCGGCCTGGTGATGCCAGCAGCCCTGGGAGCCTGGAGGCCAGGCTGAGGGTGCCCAGCTTGCAGTGCATGTGGAGGAGGTGTAGGCCTCCCCGGGCCAGGCAGCACACTACTCAGATGGGGCTGAGGAGACACCTGATCAGGACACTGGCGATCCAGCCTCTGCACCACGAATCTCAGCACGTTTGGTTCTGAATCAGGAAGCACGGGACACATGAACCAGCTGGTGGAGCTGGTAACGTCCCAGCCCTATCTGGCTTTTCGTCTCTCAGGCCACTCAGCCCCTGGCTTCCACAAACAGCACACTTGGCTCCCCTCACCCTTCCTTTCAAACCTCTCCTCTCATGAGCTCGAACAGGGCCCTTTGTCTTCTTGCCCAGAATCCTTCAGGGGCTCCCAGAGCCTTTGGTGCCCCACTGGCTGTCCTTCCCCACCGGGCTTCCTTCTCCCTTGGTCACTTTGTGGACCTAAACATGATTGTCACTCACGACCCACGCCTGGAAGGCTTCTCACCTCTGGCCAGCAAGGACAGAGCACTGCAGGTGCCTCCGTCCTCCCTCTGGTCACCTGCCCTCCAAGGGCCCAGGGGCAGCATGGTGTCTTGGGGGCCTTCCTGCCTGCCCTTGCCCAGCCTGTCTGAATTTTTTTAAAATGTCATTTGTCCTTTATTTCAAACTTAAATTGTCAAAATGGATATTTTTGGTGTGTGTGTGGTGGGGGTGTGTGTGTGTACTGGGGATTGAATCCAGGGCCTTTGCACCAAGCTACATCCTCAGCCCTTTTGTTTTGTTTTTGATACCAGGGATCAAACTTGGGACCTTTCGCTTGCAAGGCAGGTGGCAGAATCCTCAGCCCTTTTTATTTTTTAAAATTTGTAGCCAGGGCCTCACTAAGTGGCTAAATTGCTTGGGCAGTTTTTAATCTTACTGCCTCAGCCTATGAGTCCTGAGACCAGGTGTGCACCACCATGCCCAGCTAGTGATGAGTGTCTATAAATCGTTACTCTGGATGCAGAGGCAGGAATTCAAGGCCAGCCTGGGCAATTTAGTGAGACACTGTCTTAAAATCAAAAAGAGGACTGGGGATGTAGCTCAGTGCAAGCCCCTGTGTTCAATCCCCATAGCAATGAGTCAGTCAGTCGAGGTGTGCTATAATTGACCTGGAATCAAATTGCCTTATAGTAAGAGAGCTCTGCATAAAATCTAGGACACTGAACTTCCAGATGAATGAACTAGAAGCCCCGTTTGCTTTCATTCATTCACTCACTCATCCATCCATTCTGTAATTTCAAAAGCAATTCATTGCATGCCACCATCTACCAGCCAGAGTGCTTTGTATTAGTTTGTCTGTGATACATAATGAGTACATTCATTGTGGGACGTTGGTATGTGTACATATTGCATCTAGATCCTTTTTTATTTCCTTTTGCCTTCCCCTATTGCCACGACCACGCCAGTAGAGTCTGCGTGACAATGCCGGTCACCTGGCAGAAACCAGACCAGAGGTATCGTCCCCACGGGGTTAAGCCTCCTGGAGGTCCTTGGCACACACCGCATGCAAAGTCAGCCGTGAAGAGAATAGCTGGCCTCTGCCTGCAGTTTGGGGACATTGGGTTCATCTATAATTCTGTTCTATTTTGTCTTTATTACTATTTGTTCATTATCTGTAGAATTGTATTCTGGGCCCAAGAAAGGTTAGGAACAATTAGATGTTCCTAGAGATGTGGAGATATTGAGGCACAAGAGGATGGGCGGCCAAAGTGCTGACCCTGAGCCCCGGACTGTGAAGTCCTGAAGGTGAACCTGAAGGTGACATGCTAAAGCCAGTCCTTTGTCTTACAAACTTCCCCCCTTCTGACTGCGTATAGGTGTGGTCTTACCTTGACTCAATGGTCTTAGCTTTTGTGATGGTATAGAGGTGTGGTCTTACCTTGACTTAATGGTCTTAGCTTTTGTGATGGTATAGAGGTGTGGTCTTACCTTGACCTTGTGGTCTTAATTTTTACAGTACTATTGTCTATCTTATGCCTGCCTGTGACTGGAATCACTCTTGTGGTGTGCCCTTGAAACTAGTATATAAACACCTGGAGTTAGAAATAAAATTGCAGCAGCATTTGCAAGCTTCACCTCGGTGTTGAGTGCTTTTGTCTGACTGTCATCGCCGAACCTGCTCCCACCTTTCAGAGAACCTGTATCTCCTCGTGAAATCCCGTGTTTGCTGCCCTACGGTCGGTAGCACCCTATCTCTCCTCTCCCTCCATCCCTCGATTCCCTTTCCCATTTGCAAAAGGTCTGCCTTTTATTTTGCTCTTGAGTCATACTTTGGGTTTCGCATATAAACCGTGCAATATTTAATCTTCTGTGTCTGATTTATTTCACTAGCATGGTGGCACACGCCTGTAATCCCATGCCTGTAATCTCGGCTAATGCAGAGAAATTGCCACAGATTTGAGGACATCCTTGAATATATAGTGAGTTCAAGATCACCCTGAACTGCATAGTGAGACCCTGCCTCAAAAAAACAAAATAAGGGCCGGGCCAGGGATTTAGCTCAGTGGTGCCACTGCCTGTCTTGCAAGCACAAGATCCTGAGTTAGATCTCCAGTACCAAAAACAAACAAGAACAACAAAACCAAAATAAATCAACATTTCACCTAGTACTATGTTCTCAAGGTGCATCCATTTTCCTACAAATGACTCAAATATCCTTCTTTACAGCTGAGTTGTACTCCATTGTGAATATGTACATGCCCTTTAGCCATTCACCTGCTGACGGACACATAAACTGTTCCCAGCATTTTATCAGCTAGAGCTTTGTCAATTAGGAAATCCAAGCAAGATTTCTGCTCCACAGAGCTCATAGATTAAAGGAGAGACAGAAGGGCTAGAAATGTAGCTCAATGGTGCTACACTTGCCTGGCAAACTCATGGTCCTGAGCTCAATTCCTGGTACCAGGAAGAAATAAAATAAAAAGGAGAGACAGATATAATCAAACAACCACAAGAGAGGAGTGTGGAATTGAAAACCGGAAGAGAGATTAAGTAAGAGCACAGGCCAGAGGTTCTCAAAGTGTGACCCTCCCCCCACAGCATCAGCAGCATCTGCAACTTAGTGAAATACAAGGTCTCAGATTCTCCACAAAACTTTTGAGTCAGAAAGTCAGGGTTGAAGTTCAGAAATCTGCTTTAAAAACCCGCCAGGCAATTTGGAACCACTGGCATGAGACAAAGGAAACTAACACACCAGAGGGAATGAGTAAGGACTCCCTCTGTAGGTGATATGAAACTCAGAATTGAAAGATGAGTGGGGAGGCATATAAACAGGAAGAAGAGCATGTGCAAATATCCTGTGGTAACAGTATGTTTAAGGAACCAGGAGTAGGTGAGCATGGTGGCACATGTCTATAATATAGTACTTGGGAGGCTGAGGCAGGAGGATCATTGTAAATTTGAGGCTAGCCTAGATTACAAAATGAGTTTAAGGCCAACCTGAACTACGTAGCAAGATCCTGTCTCAAAAAAGAAAAAGAAAAGAAACAGTACAAGATAAAAATGAATACAAAAACTATTATTTCCTTCCAATGAGCTAATGCTTCATCTTTCTCCCAAAGTTAAAGCATAGAGACATCCTTATCCCTCTTGTGAGAGCCTCTTGTGAGACCTAACCAGAAAGCCATGACGGTTTGCAACTTGAGTGTACAACTTTAGAAACAGCAAAGCTATTCTTAAATGGCCAACAAGAACCAGATGGTCTGAAAAAACAACAACAACAACAACAACAAAAAACCTGAGATACCTAGACTTGCCAAGACCTTTTCGCAACTTCTGTCCCTTATGACTGCACAATTCCTGTCTTGGAAACTTGCCTGTTGTCTGTCTGATAATGTATTCTGGTCTGAACAAACGTTTCCTTGCCTGCTGGTAAATTATTTCCACCCTCTACATCACTGGCCCTCGGAACGCGTCTCATACAGTGCTTGATCCCTCGCCCTCACAGTCAGTCGACACACATCTGATTACGCCTTGTAAAGCCACCGTGGAGGCTTCCAGAACTGCTTCAGGAAGTGTCTAGGATGCCGGGGACAGTGGGGAGGCTGACGCAGGGTGATTGTAGCAAATTCCAGGCCGGCCTGGGCTACATAGTGAGTTCTAGGCCAAGCAGAACTACACAGCGAGATCCTATCTCAAAAGAGGAGAAAATAATAATAGTGAAAAAATCATAACGTTGACCTCAGCCTGGGGCATAACTCAGTGGCAGATGTGAGTCTGGATTTGGTCCCCAGCATGGAAAATTTTTAAAAAGAAAAAAAAAACCTCCACAAGCAAAAAACACTTCAGTCATTTCCTTCCAGGTCTCCGTTGTTCTTTGCACACTTTTCCAACAGTGTATTGTCTCCCCCGCACGGCCTTCAGCAAAAGGAGTTTTTCCCTGATCACGCCATGCTTGGTCCTCCACTTGCCCACTCCAGGCCTGCTCTCCTGGGCCAGCCAGCAGCCCCTGACACGAGTTAGTGCAAAAGACCGGGGCCTGGAGTTCAGTGGCCCCACGTCCTGCCACTCTCTCCAGCTCTACCGAGGAGCTGGGCCAGGGAGCTCCAGGCCCTGCTGGAGATGTCTCTGCATAGAACCAGAGAGGAAAAATGGAAGCCCAGGCTCACATAATTACCAGCCCTAAAAGAACCTAATTAAAACTGAAACGCTGAGTGTGGTGGCGCACACCTGTGCTTCCAGCCCTGTGAGGCCGAGGCAGGAGGCTTGCCTCAAGTAACAGGCCAGCCTAGGCTACAGAGGGAGAATTTGTCTCAAAACAAACAAACAAGATATAGAAATAAATACTCTTTACTCTCTTACTAACTAGTTATGTAGGGAAATTGTAGGCTACAAAGGATGAGTCAGGGGCTGGGGGTTTGGCTCAGTGGTTCCACCACCTGCCTCGCAAGCGCAAGGACCTGAGTTCCATCCCCACTACAAAAAAACAAACAAACAAAAAAAAGGATGAGTGAGACCTGTCCACTCCTTACCCCTTTCTGTGAACCACCTCCCCCTCCACGTGTGCACTGCGTCTCCTCAGAATGATCAGCTGCCCGTATGTTCCAGTGCCTTCTGTGTCCCCTCCTCTGTGTCCAGCTGCGGCAGCACACTGTGTTGGACGAGTTCCTGGAGTCCAACCAAAGGGCTCCCAGACGAAAGTGAGGCATGCGAAGAGCAGGCT